ATAAAAATCATAATTTTCAATTAATTGCCTTCTAATTTTGTACAAATTTCACATAAAATCTTTAATTGGCAAATTTTGTTGGCGCCAACGTAAGATAAAAGTATCCGACAACTAGTACACTTAAAAGTCAATAAGCGGCCGCATAATTTACATAAGCGGCCCAGATGTGAAAGGTTACACGCGACTAGTTTTGTTTATCAAATTGTGTGACACTACTTTCTATTTATTCCTTACATTTTTATTAAGTTTCTACTAAAAATATATACATATAATAATAATATATAAATGTTACTCCATCTTTACATCAAAACATATACACGACAATACGTATTGCAATATATTGCAATACGCTTCAGCAAAATGGCAATATATTGCAATACGGTTTTTGCTGTATTGTTACACCCCTAGTACGACAGGGAGGAGGTGAAAATGCGCTGTACAGACTGCCGATTTTTAGGGCAAAAAAAATTAAAACTGAAAAGTGTCTTAGAAATACAAACACAAGTTTTCCTTTGATTTTAATTAATTTCATTCGGACTGACAGATTTCATTTCGGTCTGACAGACTTTCATGGGTTGTCAGACTGAATTTTTGGCACTTTTTTTTTAACTTTGGGGAAGTCTGATAATACACATGAAACTCCTCTGTGGAATATCAGTCTCTGAATGGCATAAAGTGTGATGATGATCACTTGCCATTCAAAAATTTTTTTTTAACAGCATGAGCCACTGATTTGTTGTACTGCATGATGATCACAACCAGGGTTCTCACTAGGACTTTAAAACATGGAGTCCATGGACTCCCAACCCTGAAAAAGTTGGAGTCCAAAAGCGCGTCGCAATTAATATGTTTACAGATTAGTCATTCAATGCTCACAATGGCATTGCTGATATTATGAATCTTCAAGAGACTTCCAAAGTTTATAGTTATTCAAATGAAACTCTGAACTTCATAGTATAATTATTGTTTTGTTGTTAATATTTATTATGAAACTATTTCATTATAATGCATCAACACATGGAAATCGTTTTTTTTCTTCACTTTTATACCAAATCAAATTTTATTCTGGTTAAATAAGTCCACTCTAAACACAAAAAGTTTATATTTGTAAAAAAACGTAAATGTATATAGGCACAGAATGAATAGGAAAATCGTGTACAGCTTCACACAGTGTGTAAGAGATTCATCCGATTGACAATTATTTTAGCAAATATCTTCAAAAGGGGGCAAATTGAAGATCGATATTTAAAGATTTAATGTTGATTAAATAATAAAGGAACAATTCATTCGCATGTTTGGCTTGGAAACTGAGAATTTTTGCGAAATTTTAAGGTTTCTGGCGAACGTGAAATCGCCGATGTTCGGGATCAGTTTTCGGATAGAATCTAAATATCAAAGAAAAGCGTATGCGTATTTTGGTTTGTCGTCCTGGCATTTCGGCACAATATCTTAAATTCTTAATTTTTGCAAGAATGAAACTAAAGCAAAATTTTACCTAGAAATTGCCGAAAATATTCGACAATCATTCAAAATTAAGCCTACACCCATTTGTAATTTGAGAAAACAGTCTTTAAACTTGCGGCGTAAATAGTCAATAATTTTATTCTTTTGTCGGTAAAATTTGCTAATTTCTAATCAAGATATAAAATTATCACCTCGTGTTATATCTGGTACAGTTATTACATGTACTATACATTAGTCTGATCACTATTGCGTGATAATGATCGGAAGCGTTTTCGCTGATTGGCTAATCGCTTCACGGGTCGATGTGCATAGGACCGCCTACCTATAGACTGACACGCGCTGATGTATTTGTGGTTGTAAACAATCAGTAATGTATATGCGTCCCCAGGCAAAATTAAGCGTACGTGGAATCCTTGCTCTGAAATATTTGCGTCCAGCTGTAATAAACATGCGTACGGGGACTCCAAAATAAGCGTCCCCGAGAACCCTGATCACAACAAAATATGTACATACTCACAGTTACATAGTTAATAACAAATAATTTACAACGGTTTCAAAGCATTTTACTTATGGATTGATAAGGCCTAAAAAAAAAAATTGTTCTGTTCGGGTCACCCGACCCTACCTAATAATATGCGCCGACCCTACCGTTTTTTTCGTGTCCAAAAAAAAAAAAAAAAAAAAAAAAAAATCCATGAAAATACCGTATTATTGAGGTACTCAATGAGCAGTGTGAAGGGCAATTCAGGCGAAAATTTCGCTGTGTATATTTCCATTTCGCTCTCCCAATTGATCAAAGAGAAGTCAACATCGCCGATAAGATCTTAATTCCCAAAGAGTAATTACTTGCCGATGTAAAGAGCAGAGATTGTATCCGCCCATATGACGACTGCTAATTATCATTATCCAATCAGAGCATAGCTATATACTACCCCTCTACCTGTATGCAAAGCGATAGACCGCCTACTCTAAACAGTAAATAATGAGAGCATCGGCCCGAAACGGGTATATTTTGCGAGTTTAATACGAGATTTGGCGATAATTATAGATTAATTTTTTTCCGATCATCTAAACACGTGCAAATCTTCCCTAATTGATATACACGCGGTGTTTAACCGAAGTAAAGGCGATGTCCAATGGGTTTTTCACGGCTATCACAAAACTGTTAGTCAATTCGCAAAAATCTTATGATTGGTATGTTGTAGACAGTGAGAGTGTTTTGCATTGTTATCTTTGTAGAAATGCCAAATTTGACACAGCTTGTACGCACGTGGGCACGACATCCTAAAACTACGAATCATGATCGGCATGTGACATATCGGTCGTATATCATGTGCTCATGTATATAACAACAAAATTTGTCAGGAAAGAAGTGTTCTTATTGTTTCAATATATACATATTTGTTTTAATGTCATAAATATGACGCTCAGATTAAGATTTATTAATATTGTAAATTTCAAAAAGCATTATTTATAAAGATATTACCGAGTTTAACATTCCATGAAAATAAAGGGAGGTAATTAGAAATTTATTTTCTATAATTTCTCAGTCGAATTTTTCAATAAGAAATGAATGTATATAATTTTAGTTATCAAATATAATGTGCACAAATGTTTGCAGTACATATTTTACATATTCCTCGATATTTGAAAATTGTTTTATAAGCATAATTATATGCACATAAATATGACAATACAACATAGAAGATCATAAAAGAAATTTCTGTAAACAGAACAGGATAGACAGATTTTATTAATCATTGTCCATTGTAACTTTATCTGGAAAGTAAAAATATAAAGTTAATTTATTCATCATAGTTTTCTTACACATTATTATCAAAAATATATGAGAAAGCTTATAAATAGCTGATAAATAGATTGTGTTTCTATTCTAGTTAAAGGATGTATAGCCATGCATATTAATGCATAAACATTGGGATGTTTCCCTTCTGCCGATTTTTCACGAGGAAGCCACTTCTCCCTAAAATTTCCCCCCAGGATGAGCCCTGGGTATGGTACAGGTTTTAACGCCGCTCTTAGTTACAAAATGGCGGATCACATCGTCAATATTTGTAAAACTGCGTGTGATATTCACCAGAAGAACGCTGAGAGTTTAAGATTGTTACACCTGAAATGTCTTTTGAAAACATAGAAGGGATGTATTTGTGCCACCCGGGAGGGATGTCAGAAATTTCCATATCTAAATTTCAAAAAAAAAAAAAAAAAAAAAAAAAAAAAAATCCGACCTACCCTACCTATTCCTTGAGAGCATGTTACCCTAACAAAACAATTTTTTTTTTAGGCCTAATATTAAACACAGTACTTATATGCTATACACATTTAGTTCTGTACCTCATATTAATTTGAAAAATGCTTGGGTTGTATAAATATTACAAATGGTAAATTTATCAAAAAGAATTTTAGACCAGGTATATGTAATATAATATAAATTATAAATTAACCATGTTATAAATTAGTCCATAATAAATACATTATTCTTTGTAATTTGTAACAAATTCGAAAACCTAAATAACACATAATAACAAGACCAAATTAATAATTACCATGTCATCTGGGATGTACTATAACGGGATATGTTACTCGCGCTTTCTTATCAGTGCCAATGTTGGTGTCCAATTGGAATCGATCGATCGATAAGCGCCGTGTTTAAACGCCGTAATCACGGTACATGCCGGGTTGATCGGATATATTCCGTGCATAAATTTTCCGGTGATTTTGGGAGGTGGGCAATCAAAATAGTAGGAAAAAAAGGTTGTTGGTTTCTTAAATACTTTTTTCATTGGATCAATTTTAAAAATTTATAAATATGAAACAGATACAGAAAAGTAATTTACCATATTTAATTATTATAGAAAATTTACGTTTTGTAATTAAAATACGTTCAGAAATAACTTAATCATTAAATTTCAATTATAGCTTTAATTACATGGTTTATATTAATTATAGAATATAATTATGTCAAATGTGTCAATAAACATAGAAATTATTTTGTATTGGGACTTATTATTTATGTAATTAAAGTGTACGGCTGCTATAAACATGTTTATAACATGTAATAATTTTTGGTTTAATAAAATGTCTGACCTTTGTTTTATTCATGTTTGTTTTCAACATGGCCTTTGATAATCTTTGATGTTTAAACATATTTTTCACATATATTTGTAATTATGTTCTTATTTAGCTTTAATCTTCATTTTTGAATAGATTGTTTTCTAACTTCACACAATAATGCCCTTTTAAAATATGCTATTGAATGACAGTTTTAATTATAAATTATAACTCAAATTTTTCATAAAAAGATAACATTTAAGATGCAATGTTCATATATGAAATTTATACATACTGATACACTGCAATATGGCATATGGAAAATCGGATTTTGTTCTCTTTGAGGATATTGATTTAGATTTTTTTCTTGGTGAATTTACAGCTAGTGAATATGAAAATTCTGAGGATGAGGATAAGATAAGTGTAAAATCTAAAGATGATAAAAGAAAAACTTATGTATGTGATCAGTGTGATAAGTCATATAATTCTGTATCGGGTATTAGAGGACATTTAAGGAATAAACATGGAGTTAAGAATGTTAAAGGTTAGAAAAACTTTTTTATGCAATGTTTCTTACTGTGGTCTTTTTCAATTGTAAATAGTATAACAACTAAGATTCATATTTGCAATGGCCACGTCATACTGGTCATCAACCTGCATACCCATTGTTAGAGTTCCAGCTTCGACCCATTTGTCATGTGACATTTCTGTATGTATATACATGCATCGGACCTGTAGGCAATACCCTTGATTTTTATAATGAACCAGTGACTCATTAAATTTCTTTGACTCTTTTATTAAAGAGCTAGGTAGCATGAAGGACTACCTAGTTGGAGAAAAATAAAACATAAAACACCCAATCAAAATATTACACCTAACAAACGATTCATTAAAATATTTATTTCATGTAATGAATATTCGTCTCATGAATGTTAATTGTACAAATATAAACATAATTGGAATACAAAAAAGTATAAAGCTATATATATATATAGTTGATGTCTTGAATTGCAAAAAAAATATCATGATTAAATAGTAACATTATCCATTTTTTTCACAATGAGATAACATGCGACAAAAAAAACAACACTTAATTAAATAGTAATAGAAGGGTATATTTTGGCGCAGAATTAATGTGAATTTCCATACAAATTCATGTGTGTTAAATAATGGAGAAATTCATGTTATCACTTTTCAATGAAATACTTTTCAATGAAATATCATAACACTATGAGAACATTGTACTTTTACTTAAAACATTATGCCTCCAGATTCATCCTAATTTTTATGAAAATTTTGAAAATATTGTGAAATGAAAAAAAAAGCCAAAATATATAGAATTTAGAAATTTAAGCTGGAACTTTAAGAAATGTCATATAGCTTGTTTTGATATCTATTGGAATACTTTAATATTTTGTCATTATTTTGCCTGAATATGGTTTTTCCAATTTTAATTCCTTGAAATATTTTGGGTCATCTGGAGATATACAGCTTAAAAAAATGTTAAAAATATAGTTTTATACCCTTAAACATAAAAAAGTGCAATTAAATTGTTGGAAATGTTTTTACTTTATCAGTAATTGTGAAATATTTGAAGTAAATTTTAACCACATGAAAAAGGTAGCAAACAAATAATATTGACTGGTGATTGCATTGATCATTAAAAATGCAGTTAATTATAGATTATGATACATAATTTTGTAAATTTTTCAATCATTCATATGATAGAACTTCAAGGATAATTTAGACATTAAGGAGTTTCAGATTCCTTAAATTCATACAATTCATACAAAAAAAAATGAAAAAAAAAAAAACATTTTTTTTTTCACATTTCAACAATATGATGATGATCAAGGTTTTTACTGCACACATTTCAGTATTAACATGAGCAATATACATGATTTATTTACATCTTAAATAATGGTTACTGTGTATTTTATTAATCGAAATAAAAAGCATGAAAACTACCTTAAAGGGACTCCACTGAGGTTTAAAAGCCTAAAAACATAACATTTGAATTGAAATATACTTCGAAATAAATTAATCATATTTTATGCTTTCTTAGCCCGTTTTGTGTGAAAAGCGTTTTAACGTCTTTCATTTTGGGTCATTTCTTTACAGTTTGAATAATTCTTCCTGAAGAACTAAGTGTGCGAACGTTCTGAAATTTTGCACAAAGATTAGTGGTCTAAACTTACTTCAAATGGTCCATTTATCTGGAAAAAAATGTTTCCAGTCTCATCATGTCAAAAAACCTCAGTGGAGTCCCTTTAAGTTTTCATAAAAACTAACAATATATACAAGTTTTTCCATTTACAAAAAAATGCACAAGTTTTTGAACCGAGACAAAATGACTATATACATGTACAATGTATGCACAAAATGAAAAAAAAAAACTTTTCTTTTCCATTCAAATATTCTTTTCTCAAGTTTAATTTATTTGAAATATTTTGGCAGATATGCAGCTTTAATCATGGAACTAAACTGTGTTAAATGATCTTAATTTCTTATAAAGCTCTCTATGTATTGCAGCTTCAGCTTATCGCCTTGATGCAGAAAACAGGAAGACAAAGGTCAATTCATTTACAATGGATGAAGAACACTTCAGCAAAGTATTCACAGAAATATTTCATTCATCACTGAAGAATGTGTGCAACAACAGATTTCGAAACCTTAAATCATCAGTTTATGGTAAAGGCATTGTTTCTATTGGATCATCATTAAAGGAAAACACTTATGTACAACAACTTCTTATTAAAGCTCTTGATCCACTATATTACAAAGTTCTCAGTTCATCAGCAGACAGTGATAACAATGTTAATGAAGTTTTGTTAAGCAAGTATTATGAGTTGTTTCATGATGAATCTTTGATCAGTAACTTGATACAAATTTTGGAGTCTTTGCAAATTTCTAATGTGCCACTAAAGCAGTTTGTAGCAACATTGAACAGACAGTTGATACAAGATTTAATTCATAAAAGGACTGAAGTTTATGAAAAAGCAATCATTCAAGATAAAGAAATAGTTCTTTCTCATACTGAACAGTCAGTTTTATTTTACATATCTGGCTTCATGATTAAAAAAATTGTAACAAACAAACAGCTTGAGAAAAATTTAGATGATGAAATGATTGCAAAGCTAGTAAAAAACGATAAAGATTCAGAAAAAACATTTGTGAACAAATTCTCTGAATGGACAGAACAAGTAAATCGAGGTGGGCTTAAGGTACCCAGTGATAACTTTTTTCTCTTCATACGCTCGTGTGAACTCATTGTCAGGAAAAACATTGACGAAGAGCATGTTACGTCTCACATATATACTACAATTAAAGAAATCATCTTGGAAGACCATATGGTGAAACATTATAGTGAACAGCTGTTCCAAGGAAATCAGGCTCCTTTTTTAATTGAGTTTTGTGTTGACTTGTTCCTAAAAGTGCGTGGACATGCAGCTGCCAAAGTGTTAAAAGAGAAACTGCAAAAATCAGATGAGTCAACAAAGTCAATGCGACATGTCCTCAAAGACAAATCAAACATTAATTAAGATAGTCATGAATATTGGGTGTAAGTGAAATACATAGACATACATGTGTTCAACTCTGAAAATATTTCATAAGATAAAGATTTATACTCTTAAAATGTTACCAGAATAACACTACACATAAAATGTGTTAATTTGATGATTTAATCTATTAAATGTTCACACTTTTATTCTAATTAAACTATACAAGTTTTGATTGTGAATGTTTGTCAATCATAAATGGCTAGAAGCCTGTTGAAATAAAGATTTTATAAATAAATTATAAAGAGATTTATGTTTGTTATTCCATACATTGTGTTCACACACCATACAAATACCATATTATCTTGATTAAAGAAAAGTTGATACATTGCTATTATTACAAAAGATGCTGGTACATGTTTAAACTACTTGATATAAAACAAAAATATATTTATTCTGGTGGGATAGGCTAATGATGTATATTTTTGTTTCACTGTATTTAAATTAACATTTTTAAGAGTCCCTTCATATTATTAAATGATCTGACCGCTACAATAGTTTGTTTAGCTTTGAGTTAATCAACACATGCTGACACATACACAGTAAGTTTTACTATTAAATAAATTTAATTACTGTGTTATGGCAAAGATTTTCTCTTTTTTGGTAAAGGAGTACTATCTATTGTAGGAAGTAGTAACTGCCGTTTAGTATTTCCTCTAAATGGGGCGATTGCTTGACTGCCAACAACACGTATTTTCACCATTGAATTGTTAAATTGATTCAAGTTTGGATTTGCATTGCATCCATTGCTGGTTCTGTGGATACCGAAATGCTGTTCGATTGGATCCTGGTTAAATTTTTCAGTCAAAACAAAATCCATTCCATTATTAAGACAGTAACGTACCAAGCAAACAATTGACTTAGCAGTCATTTCAAGGCCTTCCAGTGTTTGGTAACTCAGCATCATTTTGCTCCTTTGACCTGTTGTGAAATTTCCATTTCTGTTTTCAACACTGACTTTCCATTCTTCAAAAAAGCCTAGAAAATCTTCAAGCAGGTAATTAAGACGGGGCACATGAAGAGAAAGGTTTTAAATTGTCATTTCGTTTTCTGTATCCTTCTCCTAAATTCCTAGAATTCAGACAATCAAAGAATTTGTCCATGTGCCGAATAAACTTTACTGTTTCCTGCACTCTACTGTCATACATGAGTTCAAGTGCATTGGCAACAGTTGAAGATAGAACTTGGGCAGCGAGTCGTACTTTCATAGCTCCAAATGAAGAGACATTAATATGTTGGGGAGTAAGCTTATTGCACAATTTGTATAATCCAGAGCAATGATCTTTATATAAGTCCACAATCTGCATCCAGGATATATCATAACCATCCTTCCACATCTGTCTACTTTTTTTATGTGAATAAGAATTTGAGAAGCAGTTTCTGGTTGTTTTTAACAAGTGTGGGACATCACCTATGAAATATATGTATCTTGAATTTGGTGAAAACACATTACATGCTTTATAAATCACACCATTCTCATTGTCATTACTTTTATGAAGTCTAATAAATCTTCTATTTGGGGAAGCACCGTCACTGGTGATAAACATTACTTCCAAACCAACATCGAGTTCTAATATTTCAACTGCTTCCCACAAGATACAAAACAATTGGTCTGATAATATTCCGTTTGTTGCAAAGTGTGCTAAGGGGTACTTCAAACTACTAGATACACCACGAACCATAATAACAAGAACATACTTAGCTAACTGTTTCTCACTAGAATGCTCTGAGCCCAATTTAGATAAATCATTGTTCATGTTTCCCAAATCAACAAATCCTATCAATTTTCCTGAATTATTATCATAAACTAAATCACTTTTGATCCTTATTTCATCATGAAGTATCCCAACAATTCTTTGGTGTCCACTAAATTTTGCAACTTCATCAGTTAAATGTTCAACTATGTCAGGGTGAAAGCCAGGTCCTTTAGAAACTAAAGCTGTGTAATCATGTAGTGTTCTTTCAGATGGTAGCGTCACAAATCCTGAATTTCTCAAAGCATCATATGTACTTGAAGATTTGCTTTTCAGGTATATACACCATTTAATGATCATGGGATGCCATCTCATTC